TATGGCTAGATGTTTAACAGGGGAAAACGCCACGATTGTTCAAACTCGCCGGAAACTATGATTATATTTATAAATTTGCGGAAAAAGTTTAAATTGGCAGAAATTCACAGGGATGGGTTGAATTTCCAATAACCGTTGCAATCACATCTCTCTGGAGGCACTGTTTTACCATTTTTCTTAATGAAAGAATGAATAAGACTAAAACAACTATGTGTCTCTTATTTAATTACTTCTGTCTCCCCGGACACTGTCGCAAGGCACTCAATCCGCAAACTCATTCGGTTCTACTGAAGACCTAAAACATTTCCCAGTGTGGATTGACACATGTGATTTAATTTATTTTTATCCCCGATGCATGTCGGTGGGTGTTACCTGCACATAATGTGCGCAGTTTTTCCAGAATTGGCAGGAGTGAAGACCAATAGTTCTGTCACAGGTGGAAACGTCCTTTTCAATGCGGTGCAGATTTAATGTATACAAGGTCCAAGAAGCTCTTGCTGAAACATACAACAACATGACATCAAATGAATAAATTAATCTCATATAACAAGTTGCCTTTTTCCTGTGGATAAAATTTTTTTTTAATTTTGAAAGCTTATAATATAAATGTGTGCCACTACAGAGAAGGAACTCCCAGCAGATTTTAGAGGGCCGCTTCATTCTTGATGTTTCAGATCCGGCCAGGAGGCTCAAAGGTCAGGGTAAAGCTTCCATCTCTGGCTCCTCCGACAGATTGGATCTGTGCCCTCTGGACCTGTGGCTTTCCTGTTCCTCCTCCTGCCTGGACCCAATGAGGGCCGAGGTTCCTCAAAGAGGAAAGACGATGCTTCACCAGTGTCTCCTGCTCCAAAGGCACCATGAACTTGGCTTTGGGGATCTCCCCCTCCCATCTTCATATGGCGAGGGAGACTCAATCAGATTCGAGTCATGGTATGAGCCTCGTCAAAAAAAAAAAAGAGGGGCGGCCGCGCGCTGCTGGGCGGCTCACGCGGCGGGGCCCGGGTACTGTGACCCCGCAGTCCGCCAGCGAGCTGAAGCACCGCCTGCAGCGGTCCTGCGACCTGCGACGGACGCGGCACCCCGCTCCTGGCAAGACCCTGCCGGCCCCGGAAAAAAAAAAAAAAAAAAAACCCACCCGCGCCAACAGCGGACTGCAGACGCCTCGTGAACGCACGCCCGTCCAAGGGGATCACTCTGCACCCAGACCAGCGGTATTCGCAGTTTGGCCCCATCAGGTGCGCCCCCCCTGCCTCACGACCACCTGGCGCCCACCACGCACACTCCACGACCACGCAGGTGACAGGGGCCGGGCACGAGAACACGCCAGAACGGGGGTACAGGCGGCGCTGCCCGGCCGGAGGGCCCCGACAGGCCGGAGGACAGAGAAGGCGGGAGAGGGAGGCCAAGCCGGACGCCCGCGCAGAACCATGGCACGGCACCGGGCCCTCCGCTGGGCCCGCCGACGGCACCCCCCTACGGACTCCAACCACCGAAGAAAAGCCAAAAGGGAAGCAGGCACCCAGGGGAGGGAGGGAGGAGGAAGAACAGCAGAGAGAGAAGCCAGGGAAGAGGAAGCCCAAAAGGGGAACCAGCACACCAGAGAGAAAGCCCAGAAGGACACGAGGAAACGAGCCCAGAAGCGAGGCAAGAGACATCCGGCCCAGCCCCAAACGAAACAAACCCGGGCGCTGCGGAGCGCTCGCCAGGCCGAGCCAGACCCGCCTGTGAGCCCCCGGGAGGGACGGGACGGAAAAAGACACGGAAATAAAAAAAAAAAAAAAAAACAACAGCCAGCTGCCCAGGCGGCACGAAAAGGACCCCAAGGAAGAGCCAGAAAAAGAAGCCACGATCAAACCAAAAGACCCCCCGCGATACACCCAAATCACCCCAGCTCCCCAGAACAGCTAAGCCAGAAAGCAGCAAAAAGCACAAGCACCAAACAACAGAGGACAAAGCGGAAGAGGCCAGCAGCAGACCAAACCAAAAAAAAGGCCAACAGCACCCAAAAGGCCGAAGCCATAAGGCGAGAGACACAAACACAACCACACACCTGACCCCAAGCCACAACGAAAAACACGGCCGAACGCCCACCCCCAGACCGGGGACGCAGAGGACAACCCGACGAACGCCATGCCGCCCAGACGAGCACTCGCAACGCGCGCAGCCCGCCCCCCCCCGCGCGGACAATCCCCGATCCGAGCCCAACCACCCGCAGGCGGGTAGCCACGCGGCCACCGGACCACCGGGTAGGGGAACGAGGGACCAAGGGCAGAGGCGTGAGAGGAAGATGTAGGAAGGCCAAAGCACCCAACGCGAAATGACAACCCTCCCCGAGCCAGACCACCCCAAAGAAAGACCCCAGCAGGAAAGGCCACACCCACGAACGCCCAGGCCGAGGGCGCCACCACCACCAAAGAGACACCAGACGAAAGCACCCCGAAGCGCGAAGAGACCAACAATACCGCCACCAGAGGCTTGGAAACGGACTCCCTCTAAAAGACAAACAACCATTCATTCGTAAAAAACAAACAACAGCAAGGCAGCCTAAGACAGAGGCAAGAAAACCAAAAGAAAAGATCAAGCACCAGGAGGGTGGCAGGAGAAAGCACGGGCAACGGCGCACCGCCAACAGTCAGAACAGAGGACGGCCGAAAAACAGGAAAACGCCAGAACAAAACAACCCTAAAAGCAGGGGCCCCCAACGAATAACAAGTGGGACAGGCAGCCAAAAGAAGAAAAAAGAAAGAAGAGAAGAGAACCTAAAATTAAACCACTCTAGCCGCCTCCAAGGGAGGAAGCCATGCAACAGGGACAGTCAAAAAGACCTTTTGGGGCCACCCCATGCCATAAGAGAAGCAGTAGAAAAACTAACATGAAAACACAGCAGGCAACCCACCAGGAAAGAACCTGGGCAGAACACGGAGAGAACGGACCGAAGACGAGGGACCAGTAGCCATGCCACAGCACCACCGGGAGACAAGGGGAGCCACATGAAGAAGCCAGAGTAGAAGGAGAGACAAAGAGGAAAGGAAGAAGAGCCCGGGAAGCAGGCCGACGCAGGGCGGAGGGGGAGGCAACCGCCCAGGCACAAGGAAGGGTGCAGGCGGCGACACGCCAGCGAGGCCACGCCCGGAGGAACCGCAACCACACGCGTGGGCAGCCCCGAGGCATCGCGCGGCACGTCAGGCGCCACAAGGGTGGATAGAGAGCAGAAAGGGGAAACGCAGCCCCCAGGGACAGGTGACGGCAGAGCCAACCCTGGTTGACAAATACAGTTATTACATAATTGCCTCCCTGGCAGAGTAGGCAACAGAGACGGCCGGAGAGAGGAGCCCACACAGCCAACCGAGAGACGACGTACCAGGCGCACAGCGACCCAAGGCCCGCAGGACAGCAAGAGACACAACTGCCTCCCACAAGAACAACAACACACGCGGACCAACGCCGAAGGGAGGGAGATACGGTGGCCACAGCGCTGCCAACATCCTGCACAACTCCGACCAACCGCACCATCCCACACAACAGGAAGCCAGCTCGGGAAGGGCCTGACCCTTCCCAGTTTGGTCTGTCTTGTGTGGCTTTCTGTTCGGGCTCCGGACTGTCCGGTGCGGCTTGTTTGTCTCCGGCGCCTTCCCCCCTGGCAGACAACACAACTCAGCAGCGCACGTGTGTTTTCTCTCCGCTCCCCCCGAAACTAAACTAGTGAATTTTAATTCTCATTGACAAGTTGCTTTTGAGTGTTTAGATGTTTCTAAATATAGAATGTTGTTAAAAGAAAATTAGAGAAAATGAGAAAAGAATGGAACAACCATCCCTCCCTAAAAAGGATTGGATAAGATTTCTTGGTTAAATGAAGGGCCTTTTTTTATTCTACTTTCTCATTTTCTTCTACTAACTCTATCCAATCACTTTTAACTCAAGTGAAAACTACTTCTGAAAGCCTTGTGCAAGATAAGAGGCAGTGAAATGCCCACCGCCCTGTGGCACCTCGTCCCCGGCCAGATTGGATAGCAACGCTCCAAGCCACTCAAAGCGCTGTATGGCGACCTGAGGAGTGGTATGGCGTCTGACCCAAGTGCGAACTGTGGCAAAAATTTATATCACACATGACGTGAAAAAATAATCAATGATACGTGGCTCACCTATGTGAGCGACAAAGATCACTATTCCAAATAAAATACCAACCATGTAAAATGTAATTTATTATATCTGTGTGATCTCCTCTTGCCTTAGATAACAAAGTCTGTCTGTCTGATTTCGCACTTTATTTAATGCTGGAGGAGTTAAAGGAGTCTCTCCTAACTTTTGACCACAACACTTATTTTCCTTCAGCATTTGACGTAATAATATACCATAATGGAAATAGGTTACTCACTAGCCCCATGGACTAATCTCGAGGCAGAAATTTGCGTTTGAAATAAGACTTGAGATAAAAAATTGGTAGCTAAAAATTAAAAGATCACGGGCGATACAAAGTAAGATTATAGTTGCTCATACTCGCTTCCCTCGGTTGTTTGACCTTAGTATTTTTGGCAAGTTCGTCTATATAGGTCTCTGGGGGCCCAATATGTGAGCAACTGTCGGAAGAATGGCTAGCGGGAGGGCTATGGAAGTGATCTGCTGGCAGGCTTCCACTTTCACATAATGTCTTGTGGAGCATCTATGAAGTGAGTCAACCAATCTTGAAATCATCATTTCTACTATTTCTTCCTTCTTTTTTTGCCCGTTCAGGGTGTAGTTTTTTTTTTTTTATTTCTTCTCGGTTTGAAGTTGCTGATCGGTTCGGATCTGTTTTCTGGGCTCCTATATTCTAGATAGTTTTGTAAACATGTTCTGTAGTCAATCTGATGGCGCACTGCATCTTGTTTCTTCCACTTGTTTTTTTTGCACGTTTCCGGGCATCTCTTACTCTCTGCTAGTATGTACCCTCCTTTCAGAGCCATTCGGGTCCTCTATGATACAGCTTAGTCTTTTGACCGGCTTGTACGTTATCACTTACTGAGAGGCACTGCAGGGACTGAGATTTTCATACAAATGAACCTCCCTAGTCCTCCACAGATGATCGGGAGGAGCGAGGAGTCAGCTTCAGCCACCGTATTGCGCAAGCTACTCTTTTAGGATCAAAAGAGGTTGAAACACTCTCTCCAGCACCGGTGACGTATGGCTCAATGTTTTACAAGGGGGAAAAGCCACGATTGTTCAAACTCGCCGGAAACTATGATTATATCTTATAAATTTGCGGAAAAGTTTAAATTTTGTGCAGAATTCACAGGGATTGTTGAATTCAAATAACCCGTCCTGCGAAGTCCACACAATCTCTCTGGAGGCACTGTTTTACATTTTTCTTATGAATGAATGAATAGACTAAAACAACTATGTGTCTCTTATTACTTTCTGTCTCCCCGACACTGTCTGCAGCACTCAAACCGCAAACTCATTTGTTCCTACTGAAGACCTAAAGACATTTCAGCTGTGGATTGACACATTTGCTTTATTTATCTTTATCCCCGATGCTGTCGGTGTGTTACCTGCACATAATGTTGCGCAGTTTTTCCAGATTGGCAGGAGTGAAGTACCAATAGTTTCTGTCACAGCGCTGGACGTCCTTTTCAATGCGGTGCAGATTTAATGTATACAAGTCCAAAAGCTCTTGCTGAAACATACAAAACATGACATAAATGAATAAATTAATCTCATTATAGAGTTGCTTTTTCCTGTGGATAAATTAATTTGAAGTCTTATAATATATGTGTGCATACAGAGAAGGAACTCCCAGCAGATTCTTGAGAGGGCGCTTCATTCTTGATGTTTTCAGATCCGGCCAGAGAGTCAAAGTTAGGGTAAAGGCTTTCCATCTCTGGCTCCTCCGACAGATTGGACTCTGTGCCCTCTGGACTGGGCTTTCCCTGTTCCTCCTCCTGCCTGAGCTCCACATGAGGGGCCGAGTCCTCAGAGAAAGACGATGCTTCACAGTGTCCCTTCCTGCTCCAAGGCACCATGGAAACTTTGGCTTTGGGGATCTCCTCCATCTCTATGGCTGAGGGAGACTCATCAGATTCAGTCATGGCATGAGCCTCGTCTTTCTGAGAGGTAAAGTAGGTTTCTCTTGCTCTCAAGACTGCGCTGTCTGCTGAGAAAACAAGGTTCTTTTCAACTGCAGGAGCCACGGGATCTACCTCCTGTGGATTACTTGTCTTTGATTCTTCCAATTCCGCATTTGTTTCTGCAGTTTTCTTGAGCTTTGATGTTCCCTCAACACTCACTTCTACGTCTTTTTTAAGACTTTGCTCAGCGAGTTTTCCTTTGGATTCTGTAGCAGCTGCTGATACCATCGTGGTATCCCGATCGGACACTTCTTTTTCTGTTCCTCCTGACTCTAAAGAGTTAATTCCTTTAATGTCTGCCAGTGCGTCTTCACACTTGGTCCCCTCTGTTTTAACTGCTCCAGACTCCTCACCAGTTTCTTGTGTTTTACTTTGCAGACTTGTCTCTTTGTTGACCGTCACCAGCCCCTCTTCCAATGGTTGGATCACGCTGTCACCCATGACCTCAGTCTTGGTATTTTCTGCAGTTTTGGCCCCATCAGGTGCTGTCCCCTCCTCCTCCTCCTCCTCTTTGTCCTTCACTGTACCTTTCACCTGGCTGTCCATTTCCACTGTCACACCTTCACGTTCTACCACTGCAGGTTTGACAGGGCTCTGTGGCACCTGAGAGACAGCTGCAGATCTCGGGGTTGTATCAGGTGCGGCGCTGTCCTCTGTGCTGAGTGAGCCGTCTGACAGGCCGGAGGTGACAGAGAAGTTGCGGGAGGAGGGATGTCCAGAGTCTGGAGAGCTTGTCCCGTTCTGCAGAGCTCCATTGGGCATCTTTGGCATCTGTTTGGCCTCTTCGTTCTTGGGCTCCGTCTCGATCTGGTCTACCTCCTCTACGGACTCAAACACCTGAAAGAACAAGCCAAAGGGAAGCAGGCTACTCCAGGGGAAGGGATGGGAGGATGTGAAGAACTAGCAGGAGAGAGAATGCAGGGATGAGGAATATTGATTCCCAAAAGTTGAGATCTCATGCATTACTTTAGCCATGTACTGAGAAATGCCTCATGAAAGGATCAGGATGTTTAAAAACTGTAACAGAAGTTCTGTTTATTGTGTCTTTTTTTAAAGATCATCTGTGCAGGCTTCAACATGATGAGTCTTTTATACCTGTGTGCTGCTGCTGGAGTCGCTCTGCAGGCGAGCCAGACTCTGCCTGTCTGAGCTCTGGGAGGACTGGGACTGGGTAATAAAGACATTCAGGTTATTATTATATAATATATATATATATATATATATATATATATATACATACAGTCT